CGATACGTGCTTCACTGAAAGCTGCCGGGATTTCTCGAAACACGCTCCGAAGCCTCGGCACAGAACGTAACATGACTACCTAACTGTTCTTAAAGGGATAGTTCACCCAAAAAAGAAAATTGTGTCATTAATTACTCACCTTCATGTTGTTCCAAACATGTAAGACCTCTGTTCATCTTCGGAACACAAATTAAGATATTTTTGATGGAATCTGACAGCTCTCTGACCTCCCATAGACAGCAAGGGTCCTCACAATCAACGTCCAGAATCGTAGCAAAGAGATCTGTAAAGTAATCCATGTGACATCAGGGGTTCAACCGTAATTTTACAAAGCTACAAGAATACTTTTTGTGCGCAAAAGAAAAAAAACAACTTTATTCAACAATTCGTCTCCCTAGGGCGTCACCCTAGCACCATTTTAGAGAATATCCACTGAACGTAAACAGCATATGCTATTCTGTGTCAGCAGTGGGAACGCGGCACAGCTGATGTTTACGTTCAGTGGATATTGAACCTTTTATAACCTTTTTTTCATTCAACTGAAGAAAATGTTCATCCATCCATTCTTTAACATCCTTTAGACATGCTAGCAGAGAAAAAAACAGAATCGCTAGAAGCTAATGGTAAATAGAGCTGGGTATCATCTGCGTAGATGTGATAGGAGATCTTATAATGCTCAAAGATCGAGCGCAGGGAAAGCATGTAAAGGGAAAATAAAACTGGACCCAAAATTGAACCCTATGGCACTCCACAGGTGATCGGCACTGGGGATGATGAAAATTCACCAGTTTCTACAGATATAATCCTATTTGAAAGATAAGACTCAAACCAGTCTAAGGCAGCATCACAGATGCTAACCTCGTGATTTAATCTATTTATCAGAATGCAATGGTGCATAGTATTAAATGCTGCGCTTAAATCCAGCAGAACAAGGACTGCACAGTTTCCAGAGTCGACTGATAATAAGATGTCATTTGTCACTCTTAAAAGGGCAGACTCAGTACTGTGCTTAGCCTTAAAACCAGACTGAAAAGGGTCTAAGAGATTAAATTGTTGATTTCAAATTAAATTGTTGGAGATTAAATACGAAGTTGGTTTAGAACCACTTTTTCCAGAACTTTCAGCAAAAAGGCCAACTTAGAAATGGGTCTATAGTTATGAAGTTCAGAAGAATCTAGGTTTGTTTTTTTGAGCAAAGGGTGAACCCCGGCATGTTTAAAGCGGGATGGAACAGTGGTGCTATGCAGGGAGACATTTATAATGGAAAGTACACTAGGTAAAACAACATCCAATACCTCCTTAAAGGGTTAGTTTTCCCAAAAATGAAAATTAGCCTGTGTTTTACTCATCCTCAAAGCATCCTAGGTGTATGTGACTTTCTTCTTTCAGACAAATCCAATCGGAGTTATATTAAAAATTGTCCTGGCCCCTCCAAGCCTTTCAATGGGGGTAAGCGGGTGTTGGTTGTCAACAGTTCAGAAGACGTGAAATAAAGTGCGTGCATCCGTAATAAAACGTCCCTCACACGGCTCCGGGGGGTGAATAAAGGCCTCCTGTAGCGAATCCATGCGTTTTTGTAAGATAAATATCCATATTTCAAACGTAATAAACACTTTTTTCTCACTTCCGTTGACTGTGGTACGTGGAAAACGTTCAGGCAGATGACGCAGGACGTATGCGTCGCATGTGCGGACACTTTTTGTTTATTTCGTTTGAAATATGCACGCATATTTATGCATGCACTTTATTTCACGTCTTCTGAACTGTTGACAACCAACACCCGCTTACCCCCATTGAAAGGCTTGGAAGAGCCAGGATCATTTTTAATATAACTCCGATTGGATTCGTCTGAAAGAAGAAAGTCACATTTTTGGGTGAACTAACCTTTAAATAGGGTAGCAGGAATAGTATCGAGAGAACAAGTGGTTAATTTCATATTGGAAATCACAGCCGACAAATCAGAGTGAGATATAGTCTGAAAAGCAGACGGACTAGAAGAACTAATCTGCAAATTATAACAACTTTTGGGAGAGGATGATATAATCGAGGACCTAATACCAATAATCTTTTTTATGAAAAAGCTGAAAAAGCTGTCACACAGATCTGCACTTGGAACTAAACCGGATGCAGTTGGAGGATTCAACACAGAGTTTACAGAGTTTAATAGAGTCTTCGGGCAATGGGATTTTTTTTGCAATCAAACTGGAAAAATTGTTGGCCCTTTGCAAAGAGACAGCTTCCTGGTATTGAGCCAGACTAGTTTGCAAAAGTTGATAAGAAATTTGCAGTTTGTCCCGTTTCCATTTTCCTTCTACCCTTCTACATTTTTTCCTTAAAGCTCTAACATCTTCATTGAGCCAGAGATGCTTATTTCGTTTGGTTTTCTTAACTTTGAGAGGGGCAACTGCATTTAATACTTCTGTACAAGACGCATTAAAATAAATCAATAACCATATCCTCAACATCGAAGCCTTGTGATCCCAAAATAATACTGCCAGCTGCAGAAGCTAAAAACAAATCTTTAAAATGCGTAGCGGTAGATGAATTTAAGGGGCGAGCAAGGAAAGTAGATGGCTGGTAATCAGAGCTGCAACAAAAAATCTCACCGTCAAACACAACTGGCCAATGATCAGACAAACCAGCATCTCTTACGTAGATGTCTTTAATGGGGATATTTGCCCTAGCTTATGTGTGGGACCTGATACTGATTGCTTAAGGTTAAAAGAGGCTATAAACTCTTTTACAAGAGGCTTTGAAGGACAACACAGATGTATATTGAAATCTAATTATGTGGCATCAATAATGGTTCTCTTTTGAATGTTTGGACAGATTAATTTAATATCACCACTGATTTAATTGCAAGTTTGTTGCTTTGTATAAAATGCTTCATTAAATGATGATGCAAATATCAAATGGTACTACATGAATAATACAGGGCCACTGTGGACACACAAGCATAAAGCATGTGCCTAGAATGCCTTTGCATATATCCAGCCCTAGGGGTCTGATCAGAGAAGAAGGAGCAGTTCACCATAAAGCCACAAGAGGACTGTCTCATCCACAGATTTCTCTGACCAGTGTTCTATTTTATTCTTAAAAGCATGGCATATTTCAGGCACTTAATATGGCACTAACATTACTAACATTACTGTTTTTTTTTTTTAATAGATATAAATCTACTTGTCATGAGTGCCTGAAATGTAAAAAACAAACCAAAGACGCATTAATTACCCTAAATAATTATCAACATTTTAGCAAAATTAAAAGATAAAAGATATTCTCTCCCAGACAGTATACATTTCAATCCAAAACCGTGAATTTGCTGGTTTTTAATAATCATTTTATTAAAAACTGCATTAAAATATTTGATCAGTTGACAAAAATACAAGCATTTTTATATATACAAATACAAAAATTACATTATATGAATTTAAACTGACAAGAAAAAGAAACCATTCCGTTAGAATTGTTAGGAGAAACCACACAACATGAGCTTTTGAAATATTGCCATTTTTCTTTAAATGTAGTTGTATTCTCTGTAACTTATTAACATCTTTGTCTTGTGCAGACAATTAGCTATAAGCTTTCAATATGAACAAAGATATTATTGTTAATTTATATAATTTTTAATATTCTTGAGTTCAGCATGTAAAATATAAATAGTCTATAACTGAAACCATCTATGCAAAAACTGTAAGCAAGTATTGCAAAACTTCTCACACAGATCTGCACTTGGAACTAAACCGGATGCAGTTGGAGGATTCAACACAGAGTTTAAAGTGGAAAATAGAGTCTTCGGGCAATGGGATTTGTTTTGCAATCAAACTGGAAAAATTGTTGGCCCTTTGCAAAGAGACAGCTTCCTGGTATTGAGCCAGACTAGTTTGCAAAAGTTGATAAGAAATTTGCAGTTTGTCCCGTTTCCATTTTCCTTCTACCCTTCTACATTTTTTCCTTAAAGCTCTAACATCTTCATTGAGCCAGAGATGCTTATTTCGTTTGGTTTTCTTAACTTTGAGAGGGGCAACTGCATTTAATACTTCTGTACAAGACGCATTAAAATAAATCAATAACCATATCCTCAACATCGAAGCCTTGTGATCCCAAAATAATACTGCCAGCTGCAGAAGCTAAAAACAAATCTTTAAAATGCGTAGCGGTAGATGAATTTAAGGGGCGAGCAAGGAAAGTAGATGGCTGGTAATCAGAGCTGCAACAAAAAATCTCACCGTCAAACACAACTGGCCAATGATCAGACAAACCAGCATCTCTTACGTAGATGTCTTTAATGGGGATATTTGCCCTAGCTTATGTGTGGGACCTGATACTGATTGCTTAAGGTTAAAAGAGGCTATAAACTCTTTTACAAGAGGCTTTGAAGGACAACACAGATGTATATTGAAATCTAATTATGTGGCATCAATAATGGTTCTCTTTTGAATGTTTGGACAGATTAATTTAATATCACCACTGATTTAATTGCAAGTTTGTTGCTTTGTATAAAATGCTTCATTAAATGATGATGCAAATATCAAATGGTACTACATGAATAATACAGGGCCACTGTGGACACACAAGCATAAAGCATGTGCCTAGAATGCCTTTGCATATATCCAGCCCTAGGGGTCTGATCAGAGAAGAAGGAGCAGTTCACCATAAAGCCACAAGAGGACTGTCTCATCCACAGATTTCTCTGACCAGTGTTCTATTTTATTCTTAAAAGCATGGCATATTTCAGGCACTTAATATGGCACTAACATTACTAACATTACTGTTTTTTTTTTTTTAATAGATATAAATCTACTTGTCATGAGTGCCTGAAATGTAAAAAACAAACCAAAGACGCATTAATTACCCTAAATAATTATCAACATTTTAGCAAAATTAAAAGATAAAAGATATTCTCTCCCAGACAGTATACATTTCAATCCAAAACCGTGAATTTGCTGGTTTTTAATAATCATTTTATTAAAAACTGCATTAAAATATTTGATCAGTTGACAAAAATACAAGCATTTTTATATATACAAATACAAAAATTACATTATATGAATTTAAACTGACAAGAAAAAGAAACCATTCCGTTAGAATTGTTAGGAGAAACCACACAACATGAGCTTTTGAAATATTGCCATTTTTCTTTAAATGTAGTTGTATTCTCTGTAACTTATTAACATCTTTGTCTTGTGCAGACAATTAGCTATAAGCTTTCAATATGAACAAAGATATTATTGTTAATTTATATAATTTTTAATATTCTTGAGTTCAGCATGTAAAATATAAATAGTCTATAACTGAAACCATCTATGCAAAAACTGTAAGCAAGTATTTTCTCTTATACCTCTGTGGATGTGCACGTCAGAAAATCTGTAACTCTGTGAAGTCCATCACACGTTAATCCAAAATCACCAAACACACATCCACTGCCATCTTTACCATTTTCACATTGTATTTTGTTTAAATTGCAAAAAATAAAATCTGGAAACATGCTGCCGTCCTCTAAGCTTTTCATCCAGAAAGTAAGGCTTCTAACTACAGTATGCTAAATGTATGCTAAAACACTGTATTTCTAACTGTGTGGTAATGCACTTACTCCTTGGATTTTTGGGGATATTCCACAATTTCCATCGGTAGGCCTGGTTCAGTTACGTGGTTGGGAGTTGAACTCATTGCAGATGTTGTGAATAATCTTTGGTACATACTTGTAGAGGTTGTCAAACTCATCCACAAAGAAAGAGTGGTCTCTGTCGGGGTCGGTGGCGATGTATTCCAGCTCGTCCTGTGCTGCCCAGGCTATACCAATGGAGTACGCGATCACACCTGGTGCATGAGATACGGGAGAGTACAATACTTTAAAAATGTAGGCAGTGCTGGTCTGGAAGTCAGCTTCCTTCACATTCATAGACACTCTAAATGCATCCTCTAAAATAGGTACTTTTATCATTCAGCAACATTTAAAGGTGCCATAGAATGCATTGATACAATATTTTAATCTACATAGAAGGTATGTGGCTTAAGTAAGGGCAAAAAATCTCCAGAAATGGTTTTACATGTCCATTTACAACCCTAGGATTTGTCCCTAGAATGAAATGGCCTGTTTTTACCTTATTTGGAAGGGTCATGAATAATAATGTTGAGCTCTGCTCTGATTGGCTGTTTCGCAGTGCGGCTCAATGTTGAAATATATAGGGAAAATATATATTTCAGTACTTTCTCTCGCAGTTATATCATTGGGTAATTATACTGTATATAAAATGCGGGCATCAGAGAGCCGCTATTAATATGCGGGGCATTGAAACTGCTTTCGAATGCACGATCGCGTTTTACTTTCA